GGGGGGGGGGACACACACACACGGGGGGGTCCCCGCGTCACCCCCCACCCAGAGACCGGTCCCGGCCCACGCGGGGATCCCGTTTTCCTGCAGAACTGGACTCACCCAGCGGCTACGGCCAAGAAAATCCCCCCCGAGGTGAGGAGGAGGGAGGGGGGGCAGAGCCCGGCACGCCGAGACGCGCGGCCGCGGCCAGGGCAGCGATTTTGGGTCAAATTCCTCCCGCCCCGGCCCGGAGGCTTCCAAAAACAACAGAGCCGGTGGCTGGCGGGGCCGCGGCAGCCGCCGCTGGATTTCATGGCATCCCCGGGCTCCCAGCAGAGCCGGGACCGGGCGGGGGGGGAAGGGGAGGGAAAAGGGAGGAATAAACTCGGTGCTGTCGGGCGGGGAGTGCGGGGCTGGGAGGCTGTGCGGGGCTGGGGGGCTGTGAGGGGCTGGGGCCTGGGAGGACTGAGGGGGCTGGGGGGTCTGACCTCGGTGGGCAGGTAGGAGAGGAAGGGGATGTCCATCTTCTCGCACTGCGTCGTGAAATCCCGGTACAGGGGGTCCGGGGAGCGCTTGGGGTAGAAGATGGTGGGCTCGTAGTCCTGCGGGCGGAGGGGAGGGGTCGGGCTCGGGGTCCGGCATCGCTCGGGGATGAAGGGGAGGAGGAGGAGGAGGAGGAGGAGGAGGAGGGGAGGGAGGTACCCACAAAGCTGCGGAGGTGCCGGGCACACACCAGCCCGATGGCCCCGTTCTGCGCCGGCCCGCACACCACCAGCACCGTGGGCTGCTTCCGGGGCAGCGAGGGCAGCGGGAACGCCTGGAGGAGACGGGGATGGCCGGTCACCACCTCCCCGTGTCACCGCGCCACCCCCAAACGGCACCCGGGCACAGCGAGGGGGCAGGGGCGTCGGGGAGGGAGGGGTAAGGGGACCCACGCGGTGGGGGTGGAGTGGGGATGGTGCCCAGGGTGGGATGGGGGTGGCACATGGAGCAGGGTGGGGAGGGGGGATGGTGCCCAGGGCGGGACAGGGCATGGGGTGGGATGGTGACAATCCCCAGGGTGGGATGGGGGTGGCACATGTGGCAGGATGGGGATGGGATCCATGGCAGGGCAAGGAGTGGGATTGGATGGGGGGTGGCATCAACGGCAGGACTCGGGTGGCACCTGGGGTGGGGCAGGAGAGGGCCCGAGTGGGATGAGGATGATGCCCAGGATGGGATGGGGATGGTACCAGTGGTGGGATGAGGGTGGTGCCTACAGTAGGATGAAGATGATGCCCACGGTGGGATGAGGATGATGCCCATGGTGACATTCCAGCAGTGCCCACGGTGTGATGTGGAGGATGCCCACGGTGGGATCAGGAGGATGCCCACGGTGGGCTCAGGACACTGCCCAGGCCGGGCCGGTGCCCGCGGGCCCGGGGGCTCCCCACCAGCTGCAGGGAGGCGGCTCCGTGCTCCACATACCAGGAGCCTGCCCGGGGACGCTGTTTATCCATTGACGGATTTTTTCCTGCTCACGGAGCCTGGCTCCGGGTCCCGTCCCCCCGCCAGCGCCCGGAGCTCCCGGCCCGTGTGAGCCCGGCCCCGGCCCTGCCCCGGCGCCGACTGCGCTGCCAGCGCCTCCCGGGGACGTGCCCGAGGGGACAATGCCCGGGGACCACGGCTTGGGGCGGGGGGATGCCGGGGCTGGGGGTTCTCCCGGAGGAAGAGGAGGATGCTCGGCCCCACGGGGAGGATGCTCAGCCCCCGCGGGGCCGGGGATGCTGCGGCCCCGGGGGCAGCCCCGGGGCGGCCCCGAGAGGCTCCAACACCAAAATATTTCTTCTCCTCCTCCTCGGGCAACCCGGCTGCCCTTGGAGAAGGGAAGGGCAGAGCCACCTCCGATGGAAAAGCTGAGGCAGCGGGCGCGGAGCTCACAAAGCTGCCCTTGATGCTGCCCCTCGGTCCTGCCCCGCTGCCTCCTCCTCCTCCCTCTCCTCCTTCTCCTCCTCCTCACATCCAGCACGAGCACCCGGCGATCCCAGCGAGGGAGGATCACCAGGACATGGGGACCCCCAGAGACCCCCCTCACCTGACACCCCAGGACGGGCTGAGCATCCCCCCTTTCCATGGGCTGTGACTGAGCTCAATTCCCAGGGGGAATAGTGAACTGGGGGGGTTGAGGGATTCAAAGAAACCCCCCAGGGAGAGGCTGGAGCTCTGGCACGGCCACAGCATGGTTGCCCACCGGGCTGTGCCACCAGCCCTGCTGTCCCTTGTCCCCACACCTTGGTCTGGAGAGGGAAGGAGACACAGATGGGGTGGGACAACATGGGGACAGGAGGAGGGTGGGAGAGCAGCTGGCAGCAAAGCCCCCGGCCCTGGTGTGGTGTCCCCAGCCCTGGTGGGGTGTCCCCAGCCCCAGTAGGGTGTCCCCAGCCCCAGTGGGGTGTCCCCAGCCCCAGTAGGGTGTCCCCAGCCCCCCTGGCCACCTCACCTTGGTGACAGCCACGGCACAGGCGTGTCCCCAGATCTCGATGAGCTGCTGCCTCCCAAACCGATAATCCTCCAGCAGCTCCTTCTCGATGGCCTCGGCCTCTGCCTTGCTGGGGAGGGGCAGAGGGCACCAGTGAGCAGGGGGAGGACAGGGGTGCCCCTCACCACCCACGGGAAGGATTTGGGACCCCACTCTGCCCCCAGGGTGCTGGGCAGGGGGTCTCGGGGCACCGGGCGAGCAGGTTGGGGGCTCGTAGGGCGTGGGGTGGGCACGGCCGGTGGCTCAGGGAGGGGGACGGGCTCGGCTGGCACGTTTGGGGGCCCAGCCCCGAGGGTGGGGGGGCTGGATCCGTGCGAGGCACGGCCCTGGCAGCGTCCCCGGGCTCGTGGGGCTCGGGCTGTTACATAAAAGCGAACAATGCTGCGGTTGTTCCGTCGCTGCCGAGCCGGGAGTTGGCAGGGCCGGGAGCCGCCGATGGGACAATAATTGCTCACATCTGTTGGCTTCACCTGCGCGCCTGGAACGGGCCGGGCCGGCTGCGGGCGGGAGCCGGGGATCCGACCCCCGGGAGAGGCCCAGGGAGGGAACCCACGGCCCTGCGGGGAGCTGGGGGGCACCAGGCCCAGCCCTGCCCCCGTTTTGGGGGGCACAGTCACACCTCGCTCAGTCCCAGTCATGGAGAGGGGACCTGCCACCCCCCACGATGGGCAGGGATTGTGTGGTGCTCCTGGAGCTGGAGGGGAGAGGGGTTGGAATCCCTGGTTGGGATCCCTGGTTGGGGTCCCTGAGTGGGATCCCTGCTTGGGGTCCCTGGTTGGGGTCCCTGGCTGCTCTGGGTGTCCTGGTAGAGCCCAGAGACCATTTGGATCAGGCATTCCCTTGTCATTCAGGTAGACCCCCAGTAAGCCCTCCTCCCAGTCCCCCATTCCTGCATCCCATCCCCTGCCTGTCCTGAAAAACCTCCCAGAAAAACTTCATCCCTTTTCCCATCTCCTCCATCCCATCCCATCCCCTCCCCTCCCCCCCCCCCCCATCCCATCCCATCCCATCCCATCCCATCCCATCCCAGTCCCCAATCCTTTGGTGCCCTCTAGTGAGTCCCGGCCCGGTCCCAGCCCCACGCGGGGGTCCCGGGGGGAGAACAAGGGGGGGCCGTGGTGGTCAAACGGAGCCGCGCTGTCCCGGTGTCCCTCCCGCGCCGAGCGGGGCCGGGGGGGGGCCGGGAGAGGGTCGGGCGTGGGGCCGGGCACAGCTGTGTGTGTGTTGTCCCTCGCCCAACAAAAGGCACGTGTCTGACAAAATTCCCCACGTCCGTTCCCGGGAGAACATTATCCATAATCGCTGCTGGCAGGAAAAACGCTGGGCGCCGGCCCGGGCTGGCTCCCGCTGGCCTGGCAGCGTCCCCAGGGAGGGGACACACGTCACGGGGCTCCCTGGGATCGCCGCCCACCCCGGGAACAGCGCGACCTCCCCCCCCC